CTTCTTCTTGGGGATGCTCCTGAGCTTCTTGGTGATGTTCCACTTCATACCTAAGTAGGCATAGCATATTTTGGTGAGGTAGTAGATATGTTCCATTTGTGTCCATATGCAAGTCTAGTAGGAAGGAGTTCACCTCGGTTTCCAAAGCACGTGCTCTAGCTCTTGTCATGGGTCCTTGTGGGGTTGGATGTGTCAATGTAGAGTCCATGGGGATGATGGAAGGATGCTCCGCATCATCTGGTATCAGAGCCAGGTTGCGCAAATCATGTAAAGGAAGCATGGCAATATCATCACATGAAAAACATAAGCCAATGACCATCATCTCGTCATCTATGCCATAAGTGCAAATGGGATTTATTTTAATGGGGCATGCATAGTTACTATGTTGAGATTGAAATGATGCAATATGGGAGATCTCACTCATAGCATATGACAAGTTCAATGGATTGTCAAACATGACGTGACCAATAGAATTTTCACAAGATATCCTATGAAGCATAGCATCAGAACTAGGCAACTCAACATGCTCATCATCATATTCATCATAAATAGGTAAGTCAAGGCATGAAGGAGTTTCACTAGCATGAAGCATGGCAATAGGTGGGTCAACATTATGGGATCAATCGATGTCAAGAGAGTCCACTAGTGGGACAAGAGAAGCACCATCACCTATGTTACCTTTGGAGTGTCGCTCATGTGTTGTAGGTGAGGTGTTGAAGATCGTCTCATTGTCATCTTCATCTTGATGGAACCATGTGGGGGGTGCATCATCGTCCACCATGGCCGTCATTTTGTCCATTGGAGGGATGGACTCATGGAGGATAGGCATGTCGTCATGTAGGAAACCTAGCACCAAAGAAGAAAACACACTAGGAGTAGAGGTTAAGTCGTTAGAAATCATGGTGGCCTCACATGCCGTGTCAACTATCTCACTCACTAAGTGTTGTGGCTCACTCACTCCCTCAAGGATGCACTCACTCATATTGTTGGTGGAGTCACTCAAATGGCGCTCAACCTCACATAGGATGTGTGGCATGCTCTCTTGTGTGGGGCTAGTGGTGGTCACACTCATCCTCTCATAGGAAATGCTCTCAATGTCACATATGGTGGAGTCACTCATGTCACTCATGTGGTGGTGGCTCTCCTCACATGACAAATGGGTCATCTCATGATATGTGGGTGTCGGAGAGATGTTGGTGCAAATGTCTCCATGCTCAACTACTATCGTCGCCTTGGTTGAAGGGATAGTCCCATGCTCAACCTTCTTGTCACCGTCTTGTTGTTGGAGGCCCATATGATGTGGCACCTCATAGCTTGTCTCCATGACCGAAGGGAATGTCCCATGCTTGGCCTTCTTCCTTGAGGGGCTTCCGAAGATGGAAGTGTCGCCCTCGCTCGTAGGTGGTTGCCTTGGACTTGATGAAGTCGTTGTAGGCGTACTCGTGGGAAGTAGGCAAAGATGCCGTACGTCCAAAGGCGAAGATGCCTTGATAGCACTTGGCGAAGATGCCAAAGTGGTTGGTGTAGCCGTAGCGCTGTCTTGGTGGTGGTCGTCTCGCGGTCTTCTTTTGTTCTCTTGAAGCTTGGACTTGGCGTGAAGTAGGGCTTGTTGGGACTTGTGCACTTGCGCTTGTGGAGCATCTTCATGATCATGATGTCGTTGTCGTGCTTGAGCTTGTGGGCGTTCGTCGTCGTCGTGCACATGATGCTTGGAGGTGACTTGCCCTTCATGACGATGTGGATCGCGAAAGTGATGGTAGTCGCCATGTAGATGTGGACTTGGACGACTTGCGCTTGCATCTTTTTCGCGCTCCGAAGACTTGTGGCTTGAATGTCGCCGCCTTGAAGATGACGAAGTGGAAGAAGACTTGATCAAGATTCTAATCTCCTCCATCCTTGCATCGTGCTCCTCTTTATGTGCGGAAAGCTTCTTGTCTATGTAGTCCCTTTTTCTTGCTTCGGAGTGACGAATGTCGATGGAGATGTTCTCGATGCGCTCTCGCAATCTTGATTGTGCGCCTTGCATTTGTCGTTGTAGATCGAAGATGGACGCTTTGGTGATGTAGTTGTTCAAGCCGTCGTTGTTGTCGTAGACCGGAGAGGAAATGCCTTGCCTATCCATCACAAGACTCGAGCAAAGGTGAGTAGGAAATGAGATAAACAATACCAAGCTACCTTTTCCCAAAGTTGAGGATGTATCTTGTATCACTCAATGTGAAATGAAAGAATAGTGGAATTGGTACCGGACTTGTTCACTCACACCTACAAGTAAAAGCTTACGGTAGAGCTCAGTGAGGATAGTGGCACAAAAATTTGATGCAAAATGTTAGCAAGAGTCAATAATGTTGGAAAAGATTCACAAATTCGCAAGTGAAACAAGTAGACCAATAGCAAATATGGTACACGGAAACACACACACAGATAGATAAATGGGGTCGTGCAACCAAGGAATGAGCACAAAATGTGGAGTCCACGGAAAACGCTCGTGTTGCACAACTCAAGAGAGACGCTAGCACGATTGCTTAATCGGCGGATACGACACTTGTGCACAACCTATAAGATGCAAAATGGATAAACTTCTATCCCAAGTATGCTATGTATGTATGGTTCCCGGTGTTTCTCTCAAGATGATCCAAGATGATCGGATATGACAATCTTATGTGCAATGGGGTATGATGCTATGGCACTTGCTTACAAGCTTCTTTGCTCTCTTTCTTTTGCTGAAAAGCTTATTCTCTTTCTTTTTTTATGGCCAATTTGCACAATGCACAAACCAAGATAGCAATTGTGTATATACGGGAACGATATTGTGATACAATGGATGATGTGATACCAATATGATATGGTATGTATGCAATGGAATGGTGGATCACTAATGTGCACAAGTAACGTTGCCGGCAATACTCAAATGGCTAGTCTCGATAGGCAAGTAACGCAAAATGAGCTAGGGGTTAACAATGCAATTTGCAAGGGAATATACAATGGTGTCGTCGAGGTTACCGTCCTTTGCGATGATGAGTAGCGGTGTTCTTGATGTAGATACCAAGATAATGTAGACTCGTCCGTAAGTAGCCGAAACACCTTAGGAAACGGTAAAAACCGCAAACTCAAAATCTCAAATGACAAATGTTAAATGGTGGAAGTGGAAATGGCAATGTGGAAGTGGTGGTGGTGGTTGGTGAAGAAGCAACCGTCCCTAAGTAGCTGAAACACCTTAGGAGACTCACGTCGCCACTCAAACAACCACAAATGCTAAATGGAGCAAAATGGGTTAGGTTGCGGAAGGCGGTGGTGATGTAGCGGATGATATGGTGGAGGGCCTAGGCAAAGATGCCAAAATGTTAAAATTTTGATGGAGTCAAATGGTGATGGAGCCTATCTAGGTGGATGGGGGATGTCAATAGCTACTCAACGAGCTAAAGAACGCGAAAATCGGACTCCGGATGTGGAAGTTACGGGCAAAATGGTGAACTGCACGCGGCTGCTGTAGGGGGGCCGTGCGCACGGGGTCTAGGGCCCGTGGGCACGGGGACCCGTGCGCACGGTACAAGCACCGAGGGCACGGGGTCACCTGGGACATGCGGGTTTGGCGGATTTCTTGGCGATCTGGGCTCCAAGCGGATGGATCTCGTGGATGGGGTGTAGCTGGAGTTATGGGGGTGGTATGGGGTGGTGGGACAGAGGTCGAAGCGCACTGGAAGGGCCGTGTGCACGGGGTCTGGCCGGCCCGTGTGCACGGGGTCCTCGAGGAGCGGATGAACAGCTCCGGATCCGTGGCAAATCTCGCACATGAGGTCAAATTCGAAGGGTGGAAGGTGGGGGAAGGTGGTAGAGGGGTAGATCTATTTGCTAAACACCAAATCCATGGACCAAATCCAACAAAATCTCATCAAACCAACAAATCACAAAAAAATTGGGGCTATTTTTGATGGGGATTTTCGAATTTAGGACGAAATCACACAAAATCAAGCTAGAAAACACGGGGTAGGGGCTCCAAAAACGTGATCAACGTGGCTCATGATACCGTATGATGTAGGGTGGAACCCTATGGAGAGATCTTTCACGAATTGGAGGTGGAATCCCAAGAACAAGATGAACAAAAGAGGAAAAACAAGGGGAACACTCAAGAACAAGTCAAATCACACATCCACTAGACAATCAAACACATAAGATCCACAAGGTACATGAACAACAAAAGAAAATAAGATACATGGTAGAGTTCATCCCAAATCTTATGAAGGAGATGAGGGCTTGATGATCTAGATAGATCCTTCCCTCAAGGGGGTCTTCATCCACTAGGGATCTTCTCCAAAGGAGGCCTTGAACTACAATGAACTCCAATGGAGTGGAATCCCACAAGGGGAGGTACATACGAGCTAAGCTTTAGTGTTTAGATCTAATCTTAGCTGAACAAAACAAATGGGGGAGTACATTTGTAGAAGCGTACTGAAATCCATATTAGCCTGGCATTCGTGAGAGGCACTGACAATACAAGGCCACTGGACCGTCATAAATTAATGAGCCTTATCAATTTGGTAGCACCTTTCTCTAATATCGGATGATATTTGGATTATCGGTAGTTTCCACTTTTCCGTCACGCCGTCACGGCGTCACACGGCACCGCGTGTCTAAACCGGAGATGAGTGAACGGCACTCCACTTCATGTGGAATCATGGATCGCACCCAAGGGACAAAAGCTGTCATCACCATGGCCTTCCAGCGCTAAACAAAGTCCAAAACATAACAAAGGCGTAGCCCTGTTCTGTTTTCCCCTTTCGTCGTCCCTCGTTTTCCGGGCGCATACAGACACGCCGCCCAATTTATTACTACTCCTAGAGTGGTAGCACTCCGACGTACTCCTGGCGAACAGCTCACGCTCCACACTGATCCCACTCACTCGACCGAGCCAGCCCAAACCTCCAAGATTTAACGCCGCCGTCTTCAAAAGCCACCCACAGGGATCCCTCCCGTCGTCTCTCTTCTCCTCGATCGATCCGAAGATGGCTTCTGCTGCCCGCGTGCTGGCGCCAATGGCGCTGCTGCTCTCGCTCGTGCTCCAGCTCGCGGCGGCGGCCGCCGCGGTGTCGCCTCCCGGTCCCAGCCCCACCTTCCCGGGCGACAAGGCCGCGCTGGCGTCGCTGAAATCCGCCGTGGACGCGGCCACCATCCCATCCTACTCCTGCCTCGCCTCGTGGGACTTCGCCCGCGACCCCTGCGCCGCCTTCCCCTGCGGCGTCCACTGCAACACGCCCCCCAACTCGTCTCACCAGCGCGTCGCCGGCGTCTCCCTCGACCCCGCGGGGTACTCCGGCACGCTCCCGGCGCCCGTCCTCGCCTCGCTCCCTTTCCTCCAGACCCTCTCCCTCCGTGGCAACAGCTTCCACGGCTCGCTGCCGGCGGGGGTGGCGCTGCCTCCGAGCCTCCGCGTCCTCGTCCTCTCCGGCAACGACTTCACCGGCGAGATACCGGCGTCCCTCTTCACCCCGGCCTCGTCGCTCGACGAGCTCGACCTCTCCCGCAACGCGTTCACCGGAGGGATACCGCCTCAGATCGCGTCCTTGGGCTCCCTGACGCGAATGGAGCTGCAGCACAACCGCCTCAGCGGGAGCCTGCCGTCGATGGGCAAGATGCGCTCGCTCGTCCACCTCGACGTCAGCGACAACAAGCTGTCCGGCCCGGTGCTGGACGCGCCCGGGCGGCTGCCTCCGACGGTCCTGGCCGTCGTGGCGCGTGACAACAGGCTCTCTGGGCCGTTGCAAGCTGCGGCCTTCCACGCTCTCCCTGAGATGCAGGTGCTGGACCTCACCAACAATGCGGTCACCGGCGCGGTCCCCGGCGCCGCGTTCGAACACCCGGCGCTGGCGCAGCTGCGGCTGGGATCCAACCAGCTCGGGACGGTGGAGGAGGCGTCGAACGGCGTCGCGTCGAGCCAGCTCCTGGAGGTGGACCTCAGCGGCAACAGAATCACGGGGCGGCTGCCCAGGTGCCTCGGGGCGATTCCGCGTCTCAGGACGGTGGGGCTCGACCGGAACCGGTTCGTCGGAGGCGTGCCGAAGCAGTACGCCGTTCGCGCCGCGGCGGTGGAGGTCGTCGACGGGAAGGCGCCGTTTGCGAGGCTGATGCTGCAGGGGAACTACCTCTGCGGAGCCCTGCCGCGTGAGCTGAGGCAGATGAAGGAGGGCGGTGTTATGGTGAGCCTGGCGGACAACTGCTTGCTCAAGTGCCCGCACAAGTTCTTCTTCTGCCAGGGGCCGCCGCAGAAGAACCGTGACACATGTCCCAAGTGCGAACCATGAGAGGTTCCATACTGTAGATAACGCATTCATGTCGTATACCTTAATTTCATCGGGTACTGTATTTCATCGGGTACTGTCCGGATGATGAACTTTATTGATCGAATAATACTACATAACTTTGCTTGAACGCGGTTAACATGCCAAAAGTGGATTGTTGAAGTACTGTGTAGTTCAGATGATAAAATATCTCGTGGGGCACCAAAATTTTCGGTTACCGTGGTCATCGAAAGATATCAGGCAGTTACTGAATGAATTTTGAATCCAAATAAAGTTCATTCAAAATCCATTCAAATTGAAGAATTCGAGTTTTTGTTTTTGCTTGGTAAGGTGCTTTCTGATAGGATGCTGCGATTTACGATTACCGCCCGGTAACCAAATTTTTTCGATCGGTGCCCAAAACCTTGGTTCAAAGGATCCAAAGAATAGCTAAAATTCGGAAATTGGGTCTGATTCCTCGTCTAATAGAGTCTAAAATTATGTGTCGTTGTTGTTTTCAGTTCACTCGTCCTAGCAAACCGGAGGGGAGCTCCTCCCTAGCGCCTTAAGCATACGGAAGAGTAGCCGGCACCCATGCCCCACTGCTCATGGGCCGGCCCAACAACGAGCGACCAATTCGATCGCTCGCCAGTTTTCCCTGGTTAAGTCGCGGATGACCAGTGGGAGCTCCTAATGGCGAATCCTATTTGGCGCTGCAGGCGCCGGTTAACATTGTTTCTGCAAACCGGCGCCTGCAGCCGCCGTTCTTGGGCCCGGCCGATTCTAGTTCGTTTTTCCTGTTTTTAAATGTCAAAAACATGTGTGCGTTACTGCATGAATTTTGAATCCAAATAAAGTTCATCCAAAATCCATTCAAATTGAAGAATTCGAGTTTTTGTTTTTGCTCGGTAAGGTGCTTTCTCATAGGATGCTGCGATTTGCGATTACCGCCCGGTAACTAAATTTTTTCGATCGGTGCCCAAAACCTTGGTTCAAAGGATTCAAAGAGTAGCTAAAGTTCGAGTATTGGGTCTAATTCCTCGTCTAATAGCGTCTAAAATTATATGTCGTTGTTGTTTTCAGTTCACTCGTCCTAGCAAACCGGAGGGGAGCTCCTCCCTAGCGCCTTAAGCATACGGAAGAGTAGCCGGCGCTCATACCCCACTGCTCATGGGCCGGCCCAACAACGAGCGACTGATTCGCTCGCTCGCCAGTTTTCCCTGGTTAAGTCGCAGTTGACCAGTGGGAGCTCCTAATGGCGAATCCTATTTGGCGCTGCAGGCGCCGGTTAACACCGTTTCTGCAAACCGGCGCTTGCAGCCGCCGTTCTTGGGCCCAGCCAATTCTAGTTCGTTTTTCCTGTTTTTAAATGTCAAAAACATGTGTGCGTTACTGAATGAATTTTGAATCCAAATAAAGTTCATCTAAAATCCATTCAAATTGAAGAATTCGAGTTTTTGTTTTTGCTCGGTAAGGTGCTTTCTCATAGGATACTGCGATTTGTGATTACCGCCCGGTAACCTAATTTTTTCGATCGGTGCCCAAAACCTTGGTTCAAATAATCCAAAGAGTAGTTAAAGTTCGGGAATTGGGTCTGATTCCTCGTCTAATAGCGTCTAAAATTATGTGTCCTTGTTGTTTTCAGTTCACTCGTCCTAGCAAACCGGAGGGGAGCTCCTCCCTAGCGCCTTAAGCATACGGAACAGCAGCCGACGCTCATGCCCCACTGCTCATGGGCCGGCCCAACAATGAGCGACCGATTCGCTCCCTCGCCAGTTTTCCCTGGTAAAGTCGCGGTTGACCAGTGGGAGCTCCTAATGGCGAATCCTATTTGGCGTTGCACGCGCCGGTTAACACTGTTTCTGCAAACAGGCGCCTACAGCCGCCGTTCTTGGGCCTGGCCGATTCTAGTTCGTTTTTCCTGTTTTTAAATGTCAAAAATATGTGTGCGTTACTGAATGAATTTTGAATCCAAATAAAGTTCATTCAAAATCTATTCGAATTGAAGAATTCGAGTTTTTGTTTTTGTTCGTTAAGGTGCTTTCTCATAGGAAGCTGCGATTTGCGATTACCGCCCGGTAACCAAATTTTTTCGATTGGTGCCCAAAACCTTGGTTCAAAGGAACCAAAGAGTAGCTAAAGTTCGGGAATTGGGTCTGATTCCTCGTCTAATAGCATCTAATATTATATGTCGTTGTTGTTTTCAGTTCACTCGTCCTAGCAAACCGGAGGGGAGCTCCTGCCTAGCGCCTTAAGCATACGGAAGAGTAGCCGGCGCTCATGCCCCACTACTCATGGGCCGGCCCAACAATGAGCGACCGATTCGCTCGCTCACCAGTTTTCCCTGGTTAAGTCGCGGTTGACCAGTGGGAGCTCCTAATGGCGAATCCTATTTGGCGCTGCAGGCGCCGGTTAACACTGTTTCTGCAAACCGGCGCTTGCAGCCGCCGTTCTTGGGCCCGGCCGATTCTAGTTTTTTTTTCCTGTTTTTAAATGTCAAAAACATGTGTGCGTTACTGAATGAATTTTGAATCCAAATAAACTTCATCTAAAATCCATTCAAATTGAAGAAATCGAGTTTTTGTTTTTGCTCGGTAAGGTGCTTTCTCATAGGATGCAGCGATTTGCGATTACCGCCCGGTAACCAAATTTTTTCGATCGGTGCCAAAAACCTTGGTTCAAAGGATCCAAATAGTAGCTAAAGTTCTGGAATTGGGTCTGATTCCTCGTCTAATAGCGTATAAAATTATGTGTCGTTGTTGTTTTCAGTTCACTCGTCCTAGCAAACCGGAGGGGAGCTCCTCCCTAGCGCCTTAAGCATACGGAACAGTAGCCGGCGCTCATGCCCCACTGCTCATGGGCCGGCCCAACAACGAGCGACCGATTCGCTCGCTCGCCAGTTTTCCCTGGTTAAGTCGCGATTGACTAGTGGGAGCTCCTAATGGCGAATCCTATTTGGCGCTGCAGGCGCCGGTTAACACTGTTTCTGCAAACCTGCGCCTGCCGCCGCCGTTTTTGGGCCCGGCCGATTCTAGTTCGTTTTTCCTGTTTTTAAATGTCAAAAACATGTGTGCGCTACTGAATGAATTTTGAATCCAAATAAAGTTCATCTAAAATCCATTCAAATTGAAGAATTCGAGTTTTTGTTTTTGCTCGGTAAGGTGCTTTCTCATAGGATGCTGCGATTTAAGATTACCGCCCGGTAACCAAATTTTTTCGATCGATGCCCAAAACCTTGGTTCAAAGGATCCAAAGAGTAGCTAAAGTTCAAAAATTGGGTCTGATTCCTCGTCTAATAGCGTCTAAAATTATGTGCCGTTGTTGTTTTCAGTTTACTCGTCCTAGCAAACCGGAGGGGAGCTCCTCCCTAGCGCCTTAAGCATACGGAACAGCAGTCGACGCTCATGCCCCACTGCTCATGGACCGGCCCAACAACAAGCGACCGATTCGCTCGCTCGCCAGTTTTCCCTGGTTAAGTCGCGGTTGACCAGTGGGAGCTCCTAATGGCGAATCCTATTTGGTGCTGCAGGCGCCGGTTAACATTGTTTCTGCAAACCGGCGCCTGCAGCCGCCGTTCTTGGGCCTGGCCGATTCTACTTCGTTTTTCCTGTTTTTAAATGTCAAAAACATGTGTGCGTTACTGAATGAATTTTGAATCCAAATAAAGTTCATTCAAAATCTATTCGAATTGAGGAATTCGAGTTTTTGTTTTTGCTCGATAAGGTGCTTTCTCATAGGATGCTGCGATTTGCGATTACCGCCCGGTAACCAAATTTTTTCGATCGGTGCCCAAAACCTTGGTTCAAAGGATCCAAAGAGTAGCTAAAGTTCGGGAATTGGGTCTTATTCCTCGTCTAATAGCATCTAATATTACATGTCGTTGTTGTTTTCGGTTCACTCGTCCTAGTAAACCGGAGGGGAGCTCCTGCCTAGCGCCTTAAGCATACAGAAGAGTAGCCGGCGCTCATGCCCCACTGCTCATGGGCCGGCCCAACAATGAGCGACCAATTCGCTCGCTCGCCAGTTTTCCCTGGTTAAGTCGCGGTTGACCAGTGGGAGCTCCTAATGGCGAATCCTATTTGGCGCTGCAGGCGCCGGTTAACACTGTTTCTGCAAACCGGCGCTTGCAGCCGCCGTTCTTGGGCCCGGCCGATTCTAATTTTTCCTGTTTTTAAATGTCAAAAACATGTGTGCGTTACTGAATGAATTTTGAATCCAAATAAAGTTCATCTAAAATCCATTCAAATTGAAGAATTTGAGTTTTTGTTCTTGCTCGGTAAGGTGCTTTCTCATAGGATGCTGTGATTTGCGATTACCGCCCGGTAACCAAATTTTTTCGATCGGTGCCAAAAACCTTGGTTCAAAGGATCCAAATAGTAGCTATAGTTCCGGAATTGGGTCTGATTCCTCGTCTAATAGCGTCTAAAATTATGTGTCGTTGTTGTTTTCAGTTCACTCGTCCTAGCAAACCGGAGAGGAGCTCCTCCCTAGCGCCTTAAGCATACGGAAGAGTAGCCGGCGCTCATGCCCCACTGCTCATGGGCCGGCCCAACAACGAGCGACCGATTCGCTCGCTCGCCAGTTTTCCCTGGTTAAGTCGCGATTGACTAGTGGGAGCTCCTAATAGTGAATCCTATTTGGCGCTGCAGGCGCCGGTTAACACTGTTTCTGCAAACCGGCGCCTGCCGCCGCCGTTCTTGGGCCCGGCCGATTCTAGTTCGTTTTTCCTGTTTTTAAATGTCAAAAACATGTGTGCGCTACTGAATGAATTTTGAATCCAAATAAAGTTCATCTAAAATCCATTCAAATTGAAGAATTCGAGTTTTTGTTTTTGCTCGGTAAGGTGCTTTCTCATAGGATGCTGCCATTTAAGATTACCGCCCGGTAACCAAAAATTTTCGATCGGTGCCCAAGACCTTGGTTCAAAGGATCCAAAGAGTAGCTAAAGTTCGAGAATTGGGTCTGATTCCTCGTCTAATAGCGTCTAAAATTATGTGTCGTTGTTGTTTTCAGTTCACTCGTCC